ATCAGTAAGCAAGCTTCCGTTTGGGCAACAATATATCAGACATCCAATAGAGACTCATCTCTCTCCCAATGCTCCCAAGTGGGCTTATCATAGCCATTTGGTCGTGTCGGCCTCACGTAGCCAATCTGAATTCCACTCACTGCTAGTGGCTCCTTCGGCCACGCTACAATGCCGCCGAACCCTTCGCTATACGTGCTCTGCATGAGATGGTTAGCAAAGAGCGTCGGGTGTAGCGACCTGACACTGGCTAGGGCTCGCCGGCTAATCTCGTCAACAGAATCATTGTGACGTAGCTCGAAGAAGTTGGGATCGTGCTCGCGGCGTAGCTGGTTCTGAACCTCAGTCGGGTACGTGCCGAGAGATAGAAGGAATATGTCGTACTGCGATAGACTAGTTCGACAAATCCAGCTACCACCTTGCGTAGCCCTACGATAGATGCCTGAGAGCGCCGCAACAGTACCGACGCACCCTGTGCCATAGTCGGACATGGGGAAAGGTGGGATGACAGGTTCGTTGAGGCCCATGAACCTACCTTGCTCCCATGCCACGCCCGTGACGCAGTCGGCGATTTGCTGCCAGCCCGGACGGCCCGCCCATTCGGCGCCAATTTCGATACCGCCGAAGCAGTCCTCTGCCACATAGACGATACCCCTGCCGCGTTGAGCCGCTTTCGCTGCAAGATCCTCGGGACGATAACCGAGCCTCGCGATAACGCCCGGTCGGTACCCATCGATGATCACATCGGCTGTCTCGAGGAGAGACTCGAAAACCTCGACATCATCTGCGTTTTTGAGATGTAATGATGTCGTGTGCTTCCCGATATTGACATCCAATTGGAAGAATGGGACGTCTGGCAACTGCGACGATGTAACCTTCAAGACAGATGCGCCATGCGCTGCTAGGGATCGACCAATGGTTGGTCCTGCAATTACCCGACACAGTTCGATAACACGAAGTCCCTGCAGACACTGACCTGGCCCGTAAATGGATTGCTCCGTAAATGGGACAGGTGGCGTATCAATGCTCAAGGGCTTCACGGTAAATAATGGAAGAGATGCCATCGATTGGCCATGGCTGCTCTTCTGGAACTTTTCATTGGTGAGGACGGGGACGCCTGCTTGGCGGTATTCTCGATTCAGCTTTTCTAATTCAGCTCCGGAAAACTGCCTGACTGCCCCCTCGATAGTGCTAATACAATCACGGTAATCTGTTAGACCGGGGGAAAAAGCGGGAAGACCAATCATCTTGAGGGCTTTGGTGGCTTCCAATGATCCGTGGATGTGATAGTACTCGCCCTGGTTCCTTGTTTCGTATAGGCCTGCTGATAGGCGCCGATATAGAATTGACTGAGCTTGGTTTAGATCCGTGTCTTAATATTGTAGTTAGCTAGATAGCTTCTCAAATTTACCTAACGGGGATCATGTGAGACGAACTCGGAATTCGTTCCTTGACTTTGGGGTTGCACTTATCCAAGCCGTCGATATTGGTGAGATACGTAGACATTAAAAAGGACGTCACACGTTCTAGGGTGACGCTAATCGATCTTTCACGTTTTGCCCCCCGGATATCTGCAATGGCAGCAGCGGCGCATCCTTCCAGTGCTTTAAGTGCTGCTACTGCTTCTTGTTCACGCAAGGGGCACGGAAAACACGCCGTATCCCCGGTACGAGAATATCTCAAGAACTTGACATTCTCGGCGTATCGTAGGAACCCTCTTGGAAGCTCTGTCTTGGTAGATTTCAAGAGATGGTTGAAGGCATCCTTTGCGCCTTCACTTACCGAATGGATTCCGGGCCTCTCCCGGGTAGCGGATAGCGCCGTCTTTGGTTGTCCAACGGTCATGATAGTTGCAGCCGGGTAAGGTATGAGACAAGAATGTGCCGTACTGAGGATGGAGAGGAAAACTCCCAAGAGAGCACGCCACATTGTTATTTAAGTAGGAAATTATAGCGTATACAAATCACAATAGCAATACTTATATTACGACATATTGTGATTCATCAGATCTGGGTCCACTTACCAAAACATGCCATCGGTAAGATCGTGACTCGGATTTATATAAGCAAGGGAACCTTTCAGTCTGGGGATAGGATAGTTGACGAAACCCGACCCATCAGGCCCACGCCAACGACTCATCTGGCCAGAGTGTACATATCGACGCTGACATGTAGAAGAAGTCTAGAAACGTGTCACGGACACTATGACGCGGTGACATATCCAATGCCCTTCAACCAGACATGCGCCGGACTGTCTAATAACGGACTGGGGGTATCCAAGTCTATCGACAGGTTAACTCGGGCAGTACACCCGACGATTCAGGAGTTGTGAATGTAAAACTGTAGAATCCAACCCATTGGGATGAGTACATAAGTATGACCTCGAATCAATGCTAGGGTCTGAATAAACCTAGTGGACTGTCAGTTTCCAGATCGAAACGAGGACAGAAGATCTTGGGTAGGAATATCTAACATCTCTGCAAAAGCAAATTAAGCACCCAACAAAGGAAACCCCGACTTACCTTTGAAGTGGCGAAAGGAAGAAAACAATACTGCCGGCATTTAAAATTGGCGTTGGTAGATTAAAAAGATCCATTTGAGTGCAAGTCGATTCGTGTCGACTGTGACGGTAGTAAGGGCTACGAGGCATGTGAGGTTGTAGAAGTCTTAGTTAAAAGGGGTTACATGCAGATCGTGAGTACTAAATTGAGCTCTCCTGGAGACGGTTTAAGGCCATATAAAGCCATATGCAGCGACGGTAAAATGTTAGACACATATCAGGGAAGTTATTGACGAATCAGCCGCAGGACATTTAACGCGAGGACCAAGTGCATCATCCGAGAAATGCGAGTCATATAACCTAGACCCTCTTTAGATTCTGATATCTAACGGTCTTCGGTGGCACGTTGAATTTAAAATAACGACGCTGACGGCTTGTCTTAGATGACTCTATAGGATTTGAACGGCGATGTGTAATTGATGAAGAAAAATGATTGAAGAAGGAAGTAACTATTTTAGTAAATTAGGTATGTATTTGGTTGAGCCGCAAAAATGGAGCCCTGCCAGGTACCTTACAGGTAGACCCTTGGCTATTATAATGTACATCTGATTGGATGGGGTACAAGAAAGTACTTGTTATTCTAGGGGTATCACGCATATAGATACCCCTGCTCTTTATGTATCACTTAGTACCTATATTAACACGAACCCTAGAGGTAGTCTTTCTACCCCGGACGTTCTAGTCATTTAGGTGCATTACCCGACAACTTTAACTGCTAAGTAGCGACTTCTAGTTTCAATCTTCACCTAACGATAGGTACGCACGGGTTATATTTGCGGAGTACGGAGTATTATGTACCTTCTCCCACGTGGAAGTGGGAACCTTCACCTAAACCGCTTCTCAAACCGCTTCTCGACTCTTTCCACTATTTCGCTAGTTCTATCTATATTCAAAATTTGGACAACATATGAATTTCTACCTCGATGTCCCTTGTCCCCCCCCCCCCTCATCAGATCTTAGTAACCTTATGTCATACAGTCTATGTGACTTAAATCAATATGGGAAACCAGATCCAATAATTGATGGCGCTACCGAGCCATCTTACACCTGCCACTGCTATGGATACGGAGTTGACCAGTCATTTTTAATATCTTGTTCAATCTTCAGATACCTATCATGACAAAAATAAAAGGGGAAAAACCTGGCTCTAGCCTTGGTGATCTTCACAGGGGTTTCATCTAAGATTTTAGTTTCTACCAAAAGAAAAAAAAAAAAAAAAAAGTCCGCACTCCTAATATCGTTCAAGCTCCTACTACGTCAAGAAAGTCCACGTCGAAAGAAGAAATAAAATAAGCCGCTATCTCCCGTATTTAAGGCGGCGTTAGAACGCCACTTAACTGCTAACGGAGTCTCACTTGATTGATCTACAGCCCAGCTGCCCAATCACGGTACCATTCCTTCCCAGCCCTGCCACGATTTTCCCATTGCAATCATGGCTAGAACAAGTCAAAGGCGGCCGACGCCGCCCTTATTGTCCGGCTCAGGAGGAAGAAGCCAAGCCGGCCAGTTGGAGTGCATGGCTTTACGTTGGCTCCTCTCGAGGAAAAACTTAGCAAGTCGGCCCTTGCGTTCTCTTCATTAAACCTTTCGTGATAGCTCTTTTCATGTCAATCTCCCGCTTCCGACACGTTCCGTCGGTCTCCAAGGTCCTTTACCTTACTTGCGTCTATTCTCAGTTATCATCTGTTGTGGCAGATCACTATAGCTCTCCAGTGAGCTGCTAGGTACGATCTGTATACGTATACTCAGCTGTGCTCTTCTCCACTTAGCCTACCATTCACACGGCTCGAGCAACCTTGGCGGATGCTCTTAGTTGTCTACAACCTATGCGGGTCGACCTCCATACTCTGCCGGATAGTCGAGTACTCAATTGCTCATATCATCCCACGATTCTGGACCTGAGTCCCGTTTGCTTCCCGATAAGGCTGAATCTAGGAATTTGTCCGTACCCGAGACCAACGTTCTTGTGTCCGTAAGACCGGCGCCGCCCCCCTCCCCACCCCCCGAAGTCATTATTCGCTTTTATTCTCTCCATCGTCCGACTTGTATCTTGTCACCTTGTGGCAAAGCGTCGGATGGCGGATGTGACCTAGATCCTTTGTGGCTCAAACCATCATGACACGACCTAAGGTTGACCCTGACAAGAGGCAACGTACTGCCCAAGCATGCGACTCTTGTAAGCGCAGAAAACAAAAGGTCAGTTATTTCAATTAATTTCCCCATCTCATCCTCACCGTTGCATCTCTCTCCCTCATCCATATCTCTTTATACCACACCTACACGTGAGATCATCAGGCTTCCAACGGCGAGCACACGGACCAGTAAGATGATGTATCATATCGGCAAAAGTTGTCTTGTAGTTTCTTCTACTTGAATAGCGTACAGCATGAGCGACGACGACGTGTGCTATGTCACTGTCTTCGGATGGCTTCCTAGGTCTCACAATGGCTGGTGTAATTGTGTAGCCGTGTGTGGATGGGATACCTCGAGACTATCGTACGATTCTGATGGGAATTAAGGCTTGTGGTCGTTATACTTGCTAATGTGGACATTGTCGTAGTGCAACGGATTAAGACCGTGCAGTACATGTGATAAACGGGACCTAGAGTGCCTGTACACGCCGACAAGCCAGGAAACCGGTTCGCAAGAGCCCCTTGGATCACCGTCTAAACGTCGACGTATCGACCAGTCACCGAGGACGTTGAAGTTAGAATCTGGTCAGACAATCGCGACGCATACTCCGTTTTTAGCGTCGTGGGATCAGTCTACTAACAGGTCGATGAGCCTAGCAGAAATAGAACCGCTTGAATCGAGCGAAAAGAAACTCATGGGGACGACACGTCATTTGCTCGCCAACAACGACCGCGAGTTCGATACTCGTTCGCGGATCAGCAATGTTAGTGGAGCTGCAGACGAAATAAGTCGCATCATGTTTATACCAAGGATGCTTCAGGATAAGACAGGAAAGCTACGTAAGTGAGGCTATATAAACGAGCCATTTCTGCCCACATATTCTCTCCCCAACAAGCTCCGCCGTGTTGCTTGTACCTTATATGCAATGTAATATCTTGCTGAGAAAGCTGGGGAAAATGGTGTGGATATTCTGACTAGCTTTCGTACTCGGACTTCGAGGCCCACCCTTTCTTTTACAAAACTGAGGTCTTCAACGTACTAATATACTACATAGAATACGTCGGGGAGTCGGGGAGTCTTGCTTACTTGCAGTTGATTCGCATAATCGTTGAAAGTGCTTCCGGGGTGTCTCACTTCACTAATGATCCCCTTAGGCACAACATATTGGAGAATAGCATCGAGCTCCCGCCAGGCACGAGGTTAACTGGGGTTCTCCCAAATAGAAAGACAGCTGACATACTAGTCGAGTCATTTTTTGTAAATGTATGTATGCCAACCCTATGGCTGCTCAGTTTAACTTAGCACATTGCAGACATCGGGGCTTGTGGAAGTTTTCCATAAACCGGACTTCCTCCAGCTGGTGGAAGAATGCTACAGCAATCCTCTAAATGCTAGCTCGCCAGATTTATGCATACTGAACCTGGTTTTCGCTGTCGGCCTAGTTATTGCTCGTCCATTGCAGGGGACTAGTGAGGCAGCCGTGATTGAAAGCCTGCACTCCGAACCCGTTAATCGTGCTGAATTGTTCTTTCGAAATGGCAAGAAAAACGGTACAGAGTCGGGATTTGAGGATGCAGACTTCTGGTCAATCCAGGCCCTCATTCTTATGTCTCTCTATAAGTTATCAATCTCTGGAAGGAATGCGTCACACGCCTACCACGGTGAGCAGCCTTTCCTTTTCCTTGTTTTTCGGCATGTGTCCGAATACGTTAATTTTTACCCCTATTTTGTAATTTGAGTCTAATTGTGGTAAGCAGGAATGGCAGTGCGGTCTGCGCAGGCGTTGGGATTACATAGAGAAGAAGAAAGCATAGATGTCTTCGATCCCCACATCATTCACCTTCGGAGAAGCGTGTGGAAGACTCTATTCGTCCTCGATCGTATCCTTGCAGCGAGTCTCGGACGTCCTATGACTATATCAATAGAGGACTGCCCCGAATATATGCTTTACCATTCGATAGGCGCTACAACCGACAAGCGCATGATAGACGAGGTAACAGACTCAGCGGCGCTAGACGTTGCCGTAAGAAGTTGTCATTTAGTCGGGTCGATGCTTAGGAAAGTTTACGCCGAGAGAAAGGTATCAACTCTTGTTGCACAGGAAATCGCAGATCGCCTCGAAAGTTGGGAGCGAGAACTACATCGGGATTTTCATTGCCAACGGCTCTTGGATGGTTCAGTTGACTCATCGCAAGTTATTGCCTCCCTTCATATCAACCTCCTACACTGCCACTCAGTGCTGCTCCTTACAAGACCTTTTTTTCTATATCTTCTAAAGATGTGTGACGACTCGTCTAGGGGTTCTAAGAAGCCGCCTCATGTCAGTTCAAGATTAGAAAGGTTTTCTCAGGCCTGCGTCGAGGCTTCGCAGCGTACGATAATCCTAGCACGAGCCGCGTTCGATGCCGAATACTTGCCACAGTGCAATCCTTTCGTAATGTCAGCCTACCTCTTTTTACTTACAGTAGAAAATTCAGAAGAGAACAGAAAACTAATAGGAATATACTTTCTCAAACAGATATTTTGTTTTCTCGGCCGCTCTTATCCTCTTAAGTAACGAGTTTGCCTCATTGTACCATAATCCCGATGCGGACAATGCGATTCGCAGTACCTTCATCATTCTCCAGTACTGTAAGGAGAGAGATGCTATAGCCGAGAGAGTCTTGGAAATCATCGAGCTCTTTCACGATGCAAACATAAATCGACCTGAGACGGCCAAGAGAATACATTTACCTGGCCGCAAGATACCGACCATGTTACATACCTTCCAGGGTGAACCAATGCCACCCTTATTCCGCCATGCCAAAATCGAACGACAGGAGTTCTACATGAGTGATGTGGCGCCGGCAAAAGAGCGTCAAATAGTCGGTATACCGGCAGCGGCTTCGGAACAGAATATGCGTCCCATGATGGCACCAATGCTCCAGCAACCCAGTCCAGAAGGGAGTGTGTCGTTGAACAGCGGTATCACAGCCGCGAGCATGGCACCGGGAATGGAAGCCCTCGGTAACGTCGATTCGGAAATCGACTTTGATAGCTTATGGCCAGCCTGGCGGCGTCCTCCGTCTACTAGCGGTATGGATATCCCACCGCCCTTGCATCATATAGAGTCATTTGGATCTTATGGGCTTCATCAGCCGCCGATGCCGCATGGGAACAATCTCAACCACCCATTTCCGCCTTCAAATTTTCGTTAAAGACTACCTAGTTACTATATAACGAACATAAATCACAATGCAGAGAAGTGTAGCAAAGATCAAGGTATACCTCATAGGACACACATACGTACATAGGGGGCCGTCCGTTGGTCTACCAGGGCCGCGTATTACGGTTGTACTGGCGTTGGAATCTAGACGGATAATTTGCGTGCAATATGTATTAGGTTAGTGGGTTGGGTTAAAGGGTTTAGGAGTTTCGTGAGCGATACTGGATTTATTACCATACGCCTAAGTACTTCTATTGGTAATGTCGAGTAGGTCTCCTTTGTTAGGCTCTTGAGCGACGAATATAACAGGTCCTCGGATGATGGCATAGCTAATGGAAATTTTACATGTATTTTTCCAATATATTATATAATCTGTTTATGGCAAGTTGATAGCAGGAAGTCGATAGGTGGATATTGTCTGTGATGGTCATCATATTGTTTCTTGCGGCGTGTTGGCTTTACATATCTTGATGCCGGGCGTAGGTTTGCTTTCTTATACCCCTAGCCCTACAAGTTATACTTGTGGTTAATTAAGTCAGATTTTATTAAGTCAGATTTTATTAAGTCAGATTTTATTAAGTCAGATTTTATTAAGTCAGATTTTATTAAGTCAGATTTTAATCCAATTATACCCGAGTACCTGTATTTGCATGATCTTCGCTGCATAGGCCACCTAGAACTGAATTATTATTGCTGCTATTCAGACCCAAGACTGTATTATATTATATGTGTACGACACTCGGAGGTAAAGGGGTAGTCTTAATCAACTACATTCGCACTCAGGAACAATAGAACTGTGGTACTGCCCTAGTTAAGTTAACGATACTAGAAGTAAATCATCCAAATTGATCGTCGAAATGGGCATATATTCTCCACAGACCCGCACTAAGCACATACAGAATATACACATCTTGCATTAGACTAGGCTAACTGTTCATAATCCTAACATGTACTTGTTCCAAATTACTTAGAAAATCGACTGATTTGTTCAATATTCGAATCTCGAGGGATAGGGGCTAAGCTCGAGAGGGCTGGAATAATACGGCGCAGTCGAGGACCACGTACGGAGCAGTGATGTATGTATGTAGTGACAAGACCAATACTTAGATGGACATGCTCGTCATGAATTCCAAAGTAGCAAGTTGGTACACGGGTGATTCAGGGTGTCGTCGCAACCTGCATCAGCCGCTAATATCTGTATAGACCCTGCTCGACATCAACGTCGTGCCGACGGCATTGTCGATCTTCTCGTCGTGCATGTGTTGGGCAGCGCTCCATTCGTCAGCATCGGCCACTCCGTCTCGACTAGCGATCTCGTCCCAAGAAAACCGCCCACCAATGTCCCGGGTGCATCCTCATCCTCATCCTCATTATACTCATCATCCTCATCACAACACACGTACATACATTAAGTACCCAGGCTAGTGTAGTATAGTATAGTATGGTGTGGTGTAGTGCCGCACTTGTCGCCCTTCGAACGAAAAGGACAAGGGTCATCGTCATCGATCCGGGTTTTCAAGACGTGAGATTAGCAATCCTCGCAGATGAATGTGACGTGTTATTGTCGACCTATCTTCTAGATCGGGCTGAGCCGGCACCTCTCGCGCCATATGCCTGCCTGCCTCCTCATACAGACAGCCACCACCACTTCAATACGAATGAATATACCAACCAGCACCAGCACGGCGGACCAACGACGACGAACAATTGATGCCTAACTACCGGGGCTGCCGGTACATCACCTAGGACTTCCTACCTATCGAGATTCGAACTTGCGGTGTAGAAAAAGCCAAGCTCGGGGAATATTCGTGGGGTAATAATATCAAAAGGAGGGCAAGAAGTGAGGAGAAAAAAAAATGATGGGAGTATTTTTTTTTTCTCTCCCTCTCTCTTTCTCTCCCGCAACTACTACGTATGACAGCCTGTCGACAGAAGGATTGTTACCATATGGTCCGTCCCGGTTCCGCCGCCTGCTTCTCCTCCTGCCGGCAGACAAAAGGGCAAGTTTTAACGGTGAAGCGTAGAGCATCATCAATACAACCACAGCTCGGTCTCGAGCGGTAGGAATGAGAGGTTTGAATTGGGGCCTCACAAAATCCTACATGCCTTGCCTAGACACCGAAGCCCTGCCCCGCTCTTGTACATATTAGAGATGAAAAGAGAGATGTATTATTTGTCCGCAGTGGTTGCGAAATGTGAGGATTCAAATTTTTCTGCTCGGTGTCTTTTTTTCTCCTTTGTTTACTTTTAACGGACCGAGGCTCAGCACGACAGTTGCAATTCAACTATATAGATAGATAGACATGAGGTAGATAGGGGCAATATTATCTAATCGGACCGGCGCGGGCCAACCAGAGGCTACAGCCAAGGCGGTCGTGATAGAGAATAGAAACTAGTGAAAGTCGAGACGGCAAATTTAGAGGCAAGAAGAGCATTCTGGTTGCTCCCGTAACGGATCGGCGGTTCTAGGCCGCATGTTTCGGGTCCCCCTATGCCTCCATCTCCAACCTCTAATTCGCCCCAGAAAAATCCTCCGGTATTTGTTGATCGGCCGGCACGCTTGGTACTAGGTCTATCGTTGCCTTTTCTGGCCTGGCCACATGAAATACGGCTAGGGAGATGGGGCCCCGTAATGGATCCTAGATGGAGTCGTTTCAGTTGTATGTATGTATGTATGTACGTGTTGATGTATGTATGTATGTATGTAGGTAGGTAGCAAGGTAGTCAGGTAGGTAGGTAGGTAAGCAAGTAGGTAACCCTACACACATCGATTATCATACATACCTTACATACCTTACATACATACATACCTAACGGTGAGGCCGGACTGCATCCCCCGCTGTAAAGAGGACCGAGGAGGCTACACACGCAGAGGCAGAGAGAAGCGTAGACATAGACACATAGACACATACCTACATACCTACATACATACAGGAACAGAGATGATGACTCACAGAGGGGAACGACAAGACGACGAAAATCACTACCTAGCCTATCTGACAGGAACACGCCGGCCGCAGTGCCACCTACCTACCTACCGACATACCAACAAGAGCCCATCCGCCTACAGACCATCTGCTGCAAAGCGGCGAAGGCCGTGCCATGTGGCCTACGTACCCGGGCCCCGAACCCTCATCTGCAAATAAATATATCCTACATACATACACCATTGCAGCAAGACTAAGCCATTGGGCGCCAGATACGATGCTAATTGGGACGAGGGGCGGGTAGTTCCATGAAGGTGGGAATACGGCACAGGTGACTCGACTCGACTCGACTTGACTAGCTGACTGCTGACTGACAGGTAAACTAACGACGGAGAAAAAAAAAAAAAAAAAAAAAAAAAGAAATGAGCATAGGGACAGACGGAAAACAGAAACAGGAATAAAGAGAGATAGCCAAGGTTCGTTCGAATAGAGTTTAGCCAAGCAGCGATGAGCAGCAGTATATGCATATATGGGATGACGCGGATGTGATGTACGTGCTTTGCTTCTCGGCAGCGATACCGAGGGGGAGGGGAGGGAGGCGGGAGAGCGGCGCCGACGTATAACAAGCAAGAAAGCCTTTACGAATCCATCCAGAGACGCGGATTGGATTGGCAGACGCGCTAATAAAGGACCAGCTACAACTTACACTACACTAGTCCAGGGCGTTTCCCCCGTTTTTGATCCTCGACACACGCCTATCACGATCCAGAGGCATACTCGGTGGCTGGGGAATCGTCCATCGTGACTGGAGAGATGCGGTCCAAGGCATGTAAGCAGACATATTAAGTGCTACGACTCTACCGTCCTTGGCTAGTAGACGAGTTATCGAGATCTGGAACTTGATGTAAGCTAGCAAGGGTTTCCGTCCAGTCGTCATCTGTTGGTAGATATTAGGGATATTACGGTAGTCTGATAGGGTTACACGCAATGGTCTGTTTACTTCCCATATTTCCCATATTTCCCATATTCCGGATGGCTTTGCATGTTACATTAGTACCTACCTAGTCTCACGTCTCATTCGGATACGCCGCTGCGTCTATTCGCCTTTCTGACTCGACTAACGTCCGCCTTGTGTCACAGCACGTCTATGTTTCACTACTAGGTTTGACGATGCTAGGATTCTTTGGTTGGATCTTGTTGATCTGGAGTATTAACCTCTAGTTTAACCGCTTGCTTTCATCCCCTTTCTCCCCCTTTCCCAAAGTGGGCAACGGTGCGATTCTATACCGTTTCTTTCCTCAACTCGTCAAGTTCGCCAATATCTGTATTTGTCTCCCTAAATTTTTGGACTCCGTTGAACAGTACCCCTCCCATGATGTAGATGTAGAACCGTAAGTTCCGTAAAAAAAATAAAAAAATATTAGCCTTTTCCCCTATGTCCGCTCCTCATCATATACCAACTTGTGTAGAAGAGATCAGCTGGGTATTTAGAGTATCCAAGATGGATTGAATACAGGCAAGTTTCTGCAGTCTGGTAATTCGCAATTTGGTATCGTTCAGTAGAGACGCCCAAGAGAAAAGAAACCGATTTAAAACCCAAGACACCATTACTCCCGCGTTTCCTTAATAACAAACTCCAAAAACCAATGACAATATATATGAGAACCTCGAACCCCAATACCCAATTCCCAGCAAGATGACGGAGATGAACCTGTGTATGTCGCAAATAGACAGGACAAAAGAAAGGTAGAAACGGTGGGGAGGCATATTTGGTGCACAGCTCGGTACTGGGGGACCCGTAAACCTGTGGCTGATAAAAGCAAACTGCACTTGTTCCTGACACCTAAACCATGTATAAGCGACAACATTATGAAGCTTTTTTTTTTCTTCCCTTCCCGCCCGAAATGTCGGTTGCCCGAACTATGCGAAAATCTCTAATGACCGTTTTTGTCCAATGCTTAAATGATATGCAGGACCCTGGGGTTTCTACCTCGCTTTTCGTGCGAGGAGTTGATATTAAAAACTAAGTATATGATAAAATATTTGCTTTATAAAACGAAAGTAGGGTAGCGACCGATGACTGAAAATTTGAAATTCGTGTTTTAACGCTGGCTTGGATCATGCGGCGCACTGGATCGTGTCGCCCAACCGGTTTCGTACGACTCCCGCTTATATGGTGCGAAGTTTTGCACCGGAGTACCTGAAGTAGGCGGCCCGCTGCTTGGAGTTCCAGCCGGTTGATCCAATCGTAGAGGAGGTAGTCGCGAGGTTCGAGCCATAGATGAAGGAGTTCCCGGCTGCGATAGAGGAGTGTGCACAGGTTGGGACATTGATGGCAAATTGGTCTGAGCCATGCCATAGGATGGGCTGTAGCCCTCGAGTTGAGGATCCGTCCGGCGTCGTCGTGCCGCCCTTTCACCCGTTACGGGATCGGCGCCCCCATAAGAAGGCATCGGTAGTGTAGGCTGATTAGAGGCGAGCGGACTCCTCTCTGCGAAAGAGCCACCACTCCTTGTCGAGATGGGACTAGGAGGCCCCTGGTAGGCAAGCTCGCTAATTCCAGGTGTTCGATAGACGATATCGCGAAGTCGATCCCGGTCACTACGGTACCTGTCCCGTTCATTCTCCGCTTCCTGCTGCCGCTTTAGAAGCTCGCGGTTTTGACTCTCTAGCTCCTGTATTCTCATTCCTTGTTGTATCTCCTTGTCCTTCTTCCTGGCTCGGAACCTTGCAGAGGCACCCGCGTTTCTCTGTCGTTTCTCGTCGGCTTGTTTTGACCCATTGTACATGTCTAAGGGGACGATCAGGGGTTCTCCACCTACATTCATTGCCGCATGCCCATCCATGCTCATCATGCCCCGAACGCCTGGCGAACCCACCTGACCCGCACTTCCAAGTAGGCTTGACCATCTTGAATCTCCCATCGGAAGAGAAGGTGGCGGAAAACGTGCACTGGGTGGAACACCCGTTGAGTACGGCGGGGTCTGTCCATACATGTGAGGTCTCATATGGTTACCGGCACTTCCTTGTGGCTGCTGTGGTTCGTGTCCGGGAGGATTAAACTGGCTCGCGATTGGTTGAGAAAGGGACCGAGGCGGTGGTGTTGTTAACGGAGCCAAAGTGGTCGGAGGACCTGGGTGGACTCTTCCGTACTGAGGACCTAGAGGTTGAGGACCATTGATTCGCGGTGATTGAGCGTGTTGCCCTACAGGAGACTCAGTTGGATAGCCCCGGTTTGACGCGGAGGGGGGAGCATGATAGTAGTGAGGTTGAGGAGTATTCAGCACTTGAGGGGGTGGTATATGACCCGCGGCACTACCTCGGGGAGACCTTGGGGTCAATATTCGTCGAGTTGCCCCCAATATTTCTCGATGGGAGTGTATTGATGCAGGCGAACCGCGGTCAGCTGGTGGGGGTCCCTGCGGAGGTAGACCTCCAGCCGCTTGATTTTGCTGCTGGCTCGTCATCCCATGATTCTGATACATGAAGGGCCGCGAGGCGGTTGGACTGGACTCAAACGTAGAGCCTTGTATATTTGGACTCGGATGCAGACGTGCTCCGGATGGTCCAGATGCCGCGGAAGAGGTAGTCCCAGTCGGTGATGGATGTGTCTCCGTTGGGTTTAAGATATTCCGTACACCAAAGCCCCTCTGGGGTAACGACTGCGCTAGATCTCCATTAATTCGGGAAATGCCACCGCTCTCCAATGATCCGTTGCTGACTGGCTGGTTACTAAGTCTCCGAGGATCCGACTGTTGTGAATTTGGCGACGTGCTCGTGCCTGCCGGAGGAGATTTGGATATCCGAGGTGAAGCAGATCGTGACGCAGGGTCCCTCTGCGACATCGGATCCAGGTCCCTTCCGAACGGGTGGCCCAGAGGAGCCAGACATTGACCGCCTCTATCAGACGCGAATTGATACCGCTTGATTTCCGATCTTGCCTCGTTGCTATCTAGTCTCGCCCCACCAGACTCGCCGTCCGCTTGCTCAAGGCTGCTCAGACGATTCGTGTGAGATCCTACGTTCCCGTTTCCAAGCGGACGGGTAGAGGGCGGTTGGGAGGGTTGGCGAACGTTAATATTTTGGACCGCCACGGCGACAGATTGGTGAACAGATTCTTGGTGTAGAAATTGTAGAAGGTGATGAGGGCTCGGATTGTGCTGTGCCCGTCACTAGAGTGGTTGCGCAGACGAATATAATGACTATATAAGTTGCTCTCTAGTATCTAAGGCGTATATGTTGTGATGGATATTCGAGGCCGCTCCCAGCTTCCGACGAATATTCGATCAACTCTCAAGCTATATATGCGGTGGCTTCAAGATACTCCTCTAGTCCGAGTCAAAGGTTGTCCTCGCAAGGTTAAGGTAGTAAGCCCCGGGTCCGGTTCAGAAGTCGTTACTTAAGGTAGAAGCAAATGGATAGTGGTGAGGATTCTGGGAAGAAATATTTCCAGATATGTGGCGGCTGGAATTAGTGGATGTATATCAGCTGTTGCCCAACGGGAAGTGAGGAACAAAAAAAAAGCGATGGTAGCCAATGATGATAAGATGTAGCAGAGCGGAATCATTGGCAACCTGACAAAAGCCCTGCAGCAGTGAATGGTCGAGACGTCGACCAACGCTAGAGCAGCACTGGGGCCTGAATGGGCAGACAAACAGCTACGGTCGTGGTCGTAAGGAGACGATGGTATGCTTCGGATGGGTTACGTACAAGTAGGAGAATGGTATAAAAGAATATCGTATCTAACCAAAAGGAATAGGCGGGACTCGACTTTGTAGCGTTCCCACCGCGCTTGCGTCAATTCACCGACAACTAAGATGTTGCTATCAGATGCAGTAAGCTCAGCACTTGCCCACTGGCAAAGTACTTAGACAGGTTAGTATGACCTCTCGGAAAGAAGGAAGAGAATGATAGCAGCTGTAAGCATTCTGAATAGTTTAAGGGCAAGTTGTACTAGTTACCACGAGTAAAGCTGCGTCAAGTATTCGATTTTTCTCTTCTTCTTTTCAGTCTCTTGGCCTGGAACCCAAGCTCCATGCTTGCTCTTATCATCAGACAAGTTAAACAAGACAGGGCAGAATACATAGAAGGAGTGGAGCTAACATGGGGATGGTTTGGAACAAGCGGCCGGGGTGCAGGAGGTTCCAGGGGGGCCATGTTCAGTATCGTTGGTGCTGAGCACCGGCAGGGCTTAAGAGTTGACACCCATACTTTGGGGGCAGTATGAACCAGGAACATCCCGTCCTATGTTCCTTTTTTAACAGTTTCAGTAAGTTGTGGGAATGATGAGGATCTTGAGGCTAGGGCGTCTGTTAAGGAATCGCTTAAGGCTCTTAGAATGTTCGAAAGCTTAACGAGCTGAGAGCTAAGCAGCCAGCCCTACACTGATGTCTGACACATGCAGCTTGGAGGACATGCGAAACATGAGGTGTCAACCGGGAATTGTTCAAGAAGCTGACAGAGCAGCCCCATGGCCTTGTCCACTCGAAACTACGAGTACGCTAGATAGACGTTCATCTGACTCGGACCATCCAACCTTAGATCGTCTTGTATAAACTTGAGGCTCTTACCGGCAGCATATTTCAGCGGTCGCACTCTTCGGTGAGCCCCCAAAAAGAT